GCAGCAGCAGAGGCAGCCAGCTCCAGCCCGCTGCTATCTGCAGGCTTGTCCCTCAGTGCTGGAGCTGGCAGGGGTTATGCTGGCAAAAGCCATCACACATGTTTAGCTCTAGGAACACAAGAAAGTCATGGGGCCAACACAGTTCATACTTCAACCAGAACGTAAGCAAAAGTACTTTGTACGTGGCATAAGTCATATTTTCCATACGCGAAAGGGATGGGGGGACTTGCTTGCACAAGGTCTGTAAGGAAAACTTCCCAGGGCAGACAAGCCAGAAAGTGGAAGGAAGGAGGAGGGAGCCTATGTACTTGCACTAGGGACTTCCTTGAGTTAGATGAAGGGTCGAGGCGAGATCCGTGTGACTCACCACACTTTTCTGAGACATGCTGCTGGCCTGATGCAACCCCTGCTCCAGCAGAAACAAAGCATGATGGGCCATTGCTGGGGCGAATCATGGGAGTTGCAAGAGCAGCTATAAAAAATATCCCTTTGCAACCTGCCAACCAAAGACACTACCCATGAGCTGCTGGTGAAGGAGAATCCCCTTCCACTCACCAATTTGGGTGCTTTGTGTGTAGCAAAAAATACCCACTGGTACCACCAGATGGACAGGATACCCAGGCTTCTGCTTTCAGACATGGTTCTGTGAACAGCCTTCAAGGGCAAAATTACTTACAAGAAAGAAAACAGCTGCAAAAAGTAGCCCGCAATTTTTTCCAGTCCTGAGTTTGCAGTGCATTCACTTCTTGCTAAGCCTAGAGCTGACGGGTCAGGCCCCCCACCCTCCCCTCCAGCACAACGGCTCCTTACAGCCGGGAAGCTATTTTTTTCCACCCGCTATCTAAAAAAAAAAAATTGGCGTGAAAGCTTTTATCATCCTGAAAACATGCCAACTGTGAAGGCGACTCTGTGTCTCAGACGCCTGTTTCCTGGCAGATTTTAAGTCCTTTGCTCAACTGCTAGGACGGTGGGGGCAGGAGAGGCCTGCAACAGCAGGCTGTGGACTGTAGTTTCAAACAGTCACATTTAACTGCTGCTAAATACCCAGGAGACCGACATTTTCAAACAGCGGGCTAAGAGCTAGACACACAGCCAAGTGATGATGTCAGCCCATCTGAGGTAAAGAAAAGGTGTGGTGATGCTGCATGGTGATGCTGTGCATGGAGATGGGAGGGCTACCAGCATGGGTACAGCTACCAGGTAGTACTGAGTGGGGTCACCTAGCTCAAGACCTCTGCCTGGTCAGTCACCCCTTCACTTCATGGGTAATGAGGCTTCAGCTTGTTGGCTCCCACTGGTTTGAAGGGAAAGGATGGGACCCAGCAACCAGGCTGAGCATGGGAGAAGTGCTGGATGACTGCACTGTTGGTGTCCAAATTTCCCGTGACCAATTCAGGCCGTAACCACCACAGCTAGCAACCTAAAGGTGCTGGGAAGTATATGTGCAGGCTGAGACAAGGGGACAGGCCCTGCCTTGATGCCACCCTGGAAGAGCTACACAAATCACAGAGATTTTCACCCTGGTGATGCTTTTTGGGGCTCCAAAGTGCTCACAGCTGGTTTTGCATACAGAAATCCCTTTTCCACTCCAGCCCCAAACTGCAGGGCCTCTTAGAAAAAATTGCACAGGATGAAAAAAGGATGCAGTCCCATCAGGCTTTACTCTTTCAGAGACAGAAGGCTATCTCTTGGCACGTGACCCACAGCAACATCTACCCTAGGACCTACTTATAACTAGCCCTTCTGCCAGCTGAAGATTTTCCCTAACATTGCAATTCAGGCCATCCAAGCACTGCTTAAACTCCAAGTTACTTGCCTGTGAAAAGAAAGCTAAGTAATCTGGGAAGACAGGAATTGATAGCCTTTCAGATTTTTTTGCACCCTAAGGCGAAATTACTAAGAAGAAACTGGTCTGGAACAGAGATGCATGGGACAATCCAGCTAACTCTCCAGAGGCTTTAAAGGATTGTCTCACTCTGCAAAATAGATGGTGCCCAGGAAAATGGTGCTTGTCAGATGAAATCACCACTCCTGCTGGATCTCTACAAAGCACAGTCTTGATGGACCGCATCTCCAAGGGGAGAGATATGATCCCACCCATAGTGTGCAATCCAGGATGGCATTTTATAAACTTGTCTGTGGCTTCTCTCCAGCTATCACACCTATTTGTGATGGTGCAGAGCAATGCATCACTGCTGCTGCAAAGGGAAGCATGAGAGCGTAGTTCAACTACTGCATGACCCAGCCATACAAGGAGACCAGGCCTATCCTCGTGTGTCATGTATTAGTTAAAAACCACAAGACAAAAAGCAAGCTGCAAAGCTCGTGCAAAGCACAGAAGACAAGCAACAGAAGTCTTCCAACACGCCATGCAAGCTGCTTTCTGTCCCTCCTCCCCTCCAGATACACTTCTCCATCCCCCTGAGTGCCTTGTTCACTAACAAGAGGAACAACCTTCATCCTCCTTTGTACTTGGATGTCTTTGCCTTCTTCATCTCTTGCCTTCCCTCCATTTAAGCACAAGGATGGCGCCTTTCTTGGGAGGCAGCTAGCTACAAGACAGAGTAAAGGGGTAAACAGTAGACTTACGGAGAAAGCCACCCCAAAAACCTTAGCTTGGTCCAAATCTTAGTCACATCTTGGGTTGTTGGGAGCCACGAGCAGCAAGAGCAGCTGCAGACCATGGGCAGGAGGTGCTGTTAGCCCCATCCAAGGCCCAGCTCTCCAATGCAGTGCTCAGCCTGCATAACATGAGCAGGGGAAGCATGGCTGCAGCTGAGACTGGCATTCAGGGCTTAAAATCCAACATGGCCTAGAAGAAACACAATTAGATACTGGTAAGAGAGCGAGCAAGAACTAACCAGGAGGTGGTGAAATATTTCGAGTTGTTTGACCCCACTACAGCCCTCTGCTTTCCAGAGCCTGGGTTCTGCAGGGCATTACAGCACGCCAATGAATAGTACAGTAGCGTTCACCTGCCAGCACCAACACAGGAGCCATCAGGGCAGAGGGGAGCCCTGTCAGCCCTCTGCCAGCCAGAGAGCAATAGGGTGAAGGATGGGACATAGACAACATCTCCCTGTGGCCTCTGCCAGCAGGACTTTCCCACCAGGCCTTGGGGGAGAAGGGGTGGCACAGTAACATTCCTCTAACAACAAGCAGCATCAGTGACAGCATCTACACTGCCAGGGCTAAGAGGCAGGCATTAGAAAAACTGTCTTTGTTCAACAGTGCCAGCCTAGAGGGAGAAAAATAGCAGCATTACTAGTGACACAAGAGACAGGTATGATCAAGGTGCCTGCTACTCCCATTGCATCTGGTTTTAGGCTCTAACTTAGGTAAGAGTCAGCTGCAGCTTCCATGTTCGGTCTGGGCATCAGAGTGAATTTCTTTCTTAAAGGTTTCAGATGCTCCTCAGAGTTGACCTGACATAGGCAGGCTGCTTCTCCAAGGCTAAGAAACATCAGAAAACTTTTTGTGCGGTTCAAAACACAGCACTGACATTTTGGGGTGTCAAATCAGGATAATCTCAAATAGGGAACAGCCATGCCTTCAGCTGTCCCCACAAAAATTCACCAGAGTTTTGTGAAAATTGGTGTTTGGTAGAAGGAAAGGTCTCCCTCTGCTGCAGCAGTTCCCAAACCCAAACACATAAATGACCAGCTGAAGTTCACACCTTGCAGCCAGGACACGTTTTGGGATGCTTCTTATTGGGCAGGCCAAGCAGGGAACACAACACAGGCCAAAAGGGATCAGCATCACCCACAGAAAGCACACAATTCCAGGGTAGGAGGAAGGCAAGTCTATGAGTTAGACATGATCTGCAATTATTTCATATGGCTTCTGTTGCATGCTGCGGCAGCAGTCTAGCAGTTCACTGTACACATGGAAGAAAAACATTCTTTTAAGTCATTTTTCCAGTGGTGGAAATAAGCTCGTATTTCAATTAGTATTTTCCAAAACAAGATCCAGAAAAACTCAGTACTGTGTGAAAGCGTGTTTATTCCAAAGCTAAATTTCTCACATAAAACATTGTCTCTGAACAGCAGCATCAGTCCTTATACAGATCTAAAACAGCCTTCTGAGGTCCAGGGCTTGGGGCCTTGAACCATCTCAACAGAGCAATAGGGAATCTCTTTTCAGAGTTGTCAGAATGGGGAAGGAAATGACAGAAAACAGATACATTGCCACTGGCACAATTTCTTAAATTCTCTTCTCACAAGAAGAGAAAAGGTGTCAGGACACTTTACAGGGAGCTTAATGTCTGCACAAAGATCTCACAGAGTACCCTGCTCTCTGCAGGCTGCTTGCCAAGGAGCTGCTGCCACTGTCAGGAGAGAACTGCATTATTGCTGCAGACAGAAACCAGGACTGTTGGATTTAATAATCTGCTGAACTGGTTCCAAGGACTGAAGAGGCCGAGAGGTCATGTTAGTGATGTGCTCCTTTGCAGCCTGGAGCCCTCACAGCAGCTCCAGTGTGCACGTTTGGTCCCAACTGACACCCTAGAGGGGTTTACTTTCTTCCTGCTGCCTCAGCCTCTTGGAGAGATGCTCGCTGATGGTCATGAGGGGGTTGGCTCTGTATCTGGGATTGGTGATGACCTCATGAAACCGAGCCACTTCCTCCTCTCTGAGGAAAGAAAAATAACACACAAATGCTAAGTGCCTCATGCAAAAGGAACTAAGCAGATAAGAACAGAACTCATAAAGCAGAGGGTTTCTGTACAGACAGAATGATCCTGGGTGTAAACCTCGGAAAGAAACAGTGCAAGAAATAAACATAATTTACCCAAGAGCAAAGCTCAAATTACTGCCAACTTCATGGAAGCCAGAGACTTGATCTCATGCCACAGAGACAGAAACAATCATGTTAGTGTCCAGCATCACTTGAAAATGTTTTTTAGAGCTTTTCCCTAGTATATCAGGAATAAGAGACTGTGGGTATCTTGTAAATCACTAAGAATGAAAACTACTTCAGAGTGCACTAGCACAAAAGCAGATTCTGCTTTTGAGAGCTCATCTACTGACCTTCTTTGTTGCTCAATGTAGAGCCTTATTAATCCTATGTGCAACACGAATTAAACACCATGGGAGTAGCATGAGAGTATTACCTTTGCATGCTTGGTCACAGCTGGTTGCTGTGGAAATGGTCTTGTCTTAAAAAGCAAGCAAGCAGGGAAGAAGAGAGCAGGAGGAGTGTAAAAAAAAAAAGTGAGTTTTCACATAAGTCACATCCGTTGTGACCTCCCCATCTCGCTCAGACAGACTGCCAGGCTCTCCACAGCCCAGCCAGACACACATCTCCACATTCTCAATAGTTGTTGTGGATCAGCAGGCGCTCTTCAGCTCGCAGCATGCAGCTAGTTCCCTCCCTAGTAGGGCCCTTCCGTGAGGAATGGAGAGAGAAGCCAAACCTGAAGCTTGGGTTGTGGCAGTTGGGACAATAGCGTGAGGCTTAGGAAACCTCCAGTACTAACGAACGTCCTGGAAATAATAAACCTCAAAGACCTTCCTCTGAAGTTTTTCCCTCCCAAGAAGCACAGACTTCCCAGACCACTATGGTAGGATACATGTCACTACTCAGTACATCTGTCCAGTTTTGTGCAGAGGAAAAGAGGGAGGCACACTGGCTTGCTGATATAGGAGATCATGGTGGAGCTGTCTATTCAGATTTTTATCTGTATACAAGTCCCTCCTCAGGCAGTTCCTCACCCATGAGTTCCAGCACAATGAGACACTGGTGGCGCTCGAGGCCATGACCCTTGGGCTTCTGCAGTGAACCAAGGAGGGACTCATCCAGAAAGGCAGAACTGAGCAAGAAAGGCATCCCAGCACCAACACTGGCCAGTTTCAGACAGAGAAGCGTATTCACGGAGTGTGCTAGAGAGCAGTGCTGGGATCTGTAGGCTGACTGTTCTCCTCAGCCTCAGTTTGAAGTTGAATGTCTCAGAACTGACAGAAATCCTGGAAACAGGGATCATAGAAAGCAAACACTGCCAGATTACAGTGCTTAGCCCCAGGAGAGGTCTGCTGAGGGGAAATTAAGTTCTTGATGCCTGGTGGCAGTATAAAATATCCAACAGATTATACAGAGGAATAAGGAGTTGCCAGACCCTTAAGCAAGTCCAGGAATTATTCAAAAGCATTTAGTGCTTCATTTTACAAGAAAAGGTTTGGCAGATACCAATGGATAGCTGTCCTCGTAAGGGATGTACAGCATGTAAGTTAGCATCCCAGAGGTGTTCCAACAGAGCAGCTGTAGCTCCTGATGCTGTGCAGAGTTCCAGGAGCTCCTCACCTACACAACCACAAGAGGCTTTCCTGAAGGGTATCAGCTAGAGCTACATGGGCCTGGTGTTATAAGAGACTGAGCCACAGCTGTGTAGCTGGATGTTGCAGCTCCAACTCAGCAAGCTGAAACAAGGGACGCACCACCTAGTTGAGAACCATATTGTCCATGCCACACAGAGGGACACAGTACAGACATAGTCACTTGGTGCAGCCAGATATGACAACTGTGGCCAGGAGGAACAAGATGACAGTTGGTGTGGGTTTGTCCTAAAACCCCACAGACCATACACAGGACGGCCAAGCCATCATTTCATTTTCAATGAGTCAGGGAAAGTGAACTCTTAAAAGAGCAAGTGCAGATTCCTGTGCTCTCTTCACTTAGCTGTTATACGCGACAGAAGTGGAAGCAGACTGAATCCATTCAGAATTGACTGAGTCTGGTAGGGAGTAAGACAGAAGGACACCCACAAACATCCTGCATTTTGTAAAGGGAAAAATCAAAGCTGCCACCTCTTCGAGGGCCTTCAGATGTGCAAGGCTGAAACACTGGAACTGGTCACGTAGAGAGGTTGTGTGATCTCCATCCTTGGAGATATTCAAAAGCCATGTGGACATGGTCCAACCAGCTCTAGGTGACCCTCATTGAGCAGGGAGGTTGGACCAGCTGACCTCAGGAGGTCCCTTCCAGTCTCAACCATTCTGTAATGCTCAGCAGGGACTGGACACTCTGATAACTAGGTACTTACAAGAGCTGGCACTTCTGAGCTTGTTTCATCAGACAGAAGTCTGCTGGTTCTGCCTTTGCTTTTACATGGCTGCGGAGAGAAGAAACAAAAGAAGTGAGTGACTGTTATAGAGGAGCGGTAATTTAGCAATTGCTGTAGAGATGGAAAGAGTCCAGGGATTCTGCATCTGCCTTCCCAGAAAGTATAGGTAATTGTCCTGTATGAAAATTGTCCTGAAAGGCAATTATTTCCATAGACAGACACTAATGGAGATGCAAACTCCTTCCACCACACACTGACAACTGTTCAGGAGTCAGGACTGAATGGGCAGGAGGTAAATGCTTTATAGAAAAATTGGATCATTTAATTCTAGAACTGGTGATGAGCTGTCCATCCCCAGATCACTTTCTGCTTATCACTAACCTGCAGGTCAAACCGATATTGTTGCTTAGAGAAAAGATCCCACTGGACTTCCCCTCACCACCAGGCACACATCACCTCTGCACATCTCATATTCCTTGCTAATGTTCCCGAGTTCCAGCATCAGCAGACACAGACGGTTATAGACAGTGCTATGGTTACTCAGCAAGAAGAGGGAACTACCAGCCCTGCTCTGAGTCCTGTGGTGGGACCAGTGGGGTATAAGATGTCGTTTATATTTTAAGATAAAAGAATGGCAATATTCCTTCCTCCCTGTGAACACATATCCTCACCAAAGGCTTGCCAGCTTAAGTCAGCTGCAAACAGATTAGCTAAAGAGAAAGCACGACAACAGAGCTTCAGATTTTGCCACCAAACATAGGTTTTGAGAACCCATGAAGATGCAAGATGGACTCATGGGAACGCAGGAAGGTCACTGTGTGCAGCTGAGGCACAGTGGCAAGCATAGATCTGCACTTTCTGCACCCATTTCTTATTCCTGGGCAAAAAACAAGGAGACCAGAGGTGTAATGCCATCCTGCACAGGATGCTGGAAGCATGTTGTGCCTGATCCCAAGGAGCAGCAGAGATTTACCACAAAGTCAAGCACTAAGCCTAAGCAAGGGACACGCAGGAAGGACAGTGACTGCCTTTGGAACTTGAAGTGAACAAGGGGAGTTGCTCGTAGAACTGGACATTAAGGAAAGGAGAAGAAACTTCCATTCTTCAGGATCACACAGATACAAACAGAAGAAGCAAGTGGGGAAGAGGGTCTGCCTCTGCAGAGCAGCTCCCCTCTAATTTGCCTTGGGGCTGAGCCCCAGCAAACAGCCCAAGGGGGAAAAAGGGTCTGCCTCCCACCCCTCTGTTGGGGGAGGGCTCAAGAAGGAATCTTCCCTTACTCGTGGGTGCTGGGTGCCAGGGCTTCCCCCACCTGATCTGCCAGAGAGCCCTTCAGGTTTGTCAAGGTTAGCAAACATGACGGTCTCTCACCTTCTCTTCAAGACAGCAGGATCTGGTCTGTTGTTGGCAGTGTTACAGTGACCTCCTCTTCCTATTTCCTTCTCTGACCCAGTACCCTCCATCCTTTTATTCTGCATTTTTTCCCCATTCTTCCTTTCCTCCTCCTTCCTTGCCCCATGTTCCTTCATCCCACTCACTTTCATCATCCCTCTCCACTAGATCAGCTCCTGCTGCTTTTCCTCATCTCTCTCTCTCTCTCCATCCTCGCCCATTTTATTTTTCCTCAAGGGGGATCCTAGTGGACCAAAGCTGCTGAGGGCTGCTCTCACCACTGCCCTGATCACATCTGATTTACCCTCAGCCAAGCACAGTGTGCATCAGTATCAAAGCTCCCTGCCAACCCAGACAAACCCAAACAGCGTGGATGTGTGTCAGCACAGACACTGTGCAGGAAAACAGCAGCCAGGCAGATCGATTCCTGTGCGCTGCTGCTCCTGTACCTTTCAATCTCTCTTGAGGTCACCCCAGCACTGCCGGCATTACACAACAGGCCTAAGCGCTCACAAGGAACAGCGATCAGCAAGAGCGGACAAACAGCTACAGGGATTCGAGCAGCTCCCGTCACACCGCTGTTTCCACTGATACTGCAAGACGCAGAAAGAGCAGGAAGTATCTCTGCTCTCTTCATGTTCATTGTCTACCTTGACTTCAGCAAGGCTTTTGACACTGTCTCCCATAACATCCTCGCAGGTAAGCTTAGGAAGTGTGGATTAGATGAGTGGACAGTGAGGTGGATTGAGAACTGGCCGAATGGCAGAGCTCAGAGGGTTGTGATCAGTGGCACAGAATCCAGTTGGAGGCCTGTAACTAGCAGTGTTCCCCAGGGGTCAGTCCTGTGTCCAGTCTTGTTCAATATATTCATCAATGACCTGGATGAGGGGACAGAGTGTACCCTCAGCACGTTTGCTGATGACACAAAACTGGGAGGAGCGGCTGACACACCAGAGGTCTGTGCTGCCATTCACCAAGACCTGGACAGGCTAGAGAGTTGGGTGGAGAGTTCAACAAAGTTGAATGAAGTTCAACAAAGGCAACTGTAGGGTCCTGCACCTAGGGAGGAATAACCCCCTGCACTGGTACAGGTTAGGGGCTGGCCTGCTGGAAAGCGCCTCTGCAGAGAGGGACCTGGGAGTCCTGCTGGACAACAAGTTGACCATGAGCTAGCAATGTGCCCTTGTGGCCAAGAAGGCCAATGGTCTCCTGGAATGCATCAAGAAGAGTGTGGCCAGCAGGTTGAGGGAGGTTATCCTCCCTTTCTACTCTGCCCTGGTGAGGCCACATGTGGAGTCCTGTGTCCAGTTCTGGGCCCCCCGTTAAAGAAGGACAGCGAACTACTGGAGACAGTCCAGCGGAGGGCTATGAAGATGATCAAGGGAATGGAGCACCTCTCTTATGAGGAAAGGCTGAAAGTCCTGGGTCTCTGAAGCCTGGAGAAGAGAAGACTGAGAGGGCATCTCATCAATGCTTATAAATATCTAAAGGGTGAGTGTCAAGAGGATGGGGCCAAACTCTTTTCAGTGGTGCTCAGTGACAGGACAAGGGGTAATGGGCACAAACTGGAACACAGGAAATTTCATCTCAACATGAGCAAAAAGTTCTTTACTTTGAGGGTGACAGAGCAGTGGAACAGGCTGTCCAGAGAGGTTGTGGAGTCTCCTTCTCTGAAGATATTAAAAACCTGCATGCATGCATTCCTGTCCAACTTGCTCTAGGTGAACCTGCTTTGGTGGGGGGGTGGACTAGATGATCTCCGAAGTCTGTTCCAACCCCTACCATTCTGTGATTCTGTGTTAACTGCTCGGCACAGGAACAATTTCTTGTCCCAGTTTGCCTGGATCACTCACAGAAGCACAGAGAAATCCTTTCTCAAGTGTAATGGGAACCCACGGTCACCACAGCAGGGGCATGCCAAGTGTGCCACCAAGTCGCCATGGCAGTCCCTTCAAAGATGAGTAGCTCTGCAGAGGATGATAATGCTTAAAGAAAAGTCTTTTGAGAGTACATCCTGGGCCATACCAGATCACGTGACCCAGAGGCTGTGCCTCTTGGGACAGCTTCCTCTGCAGCACACTATTTTAAAGGGCTGGGTGCTTCTGAAGGCTTTCCGGTTCCACTCAACAGCTCTGCCCCATTGGTCTGGCAGGTTTGAAAGGCTGCTGCCTGCTCACTTGGATTGTGTTAGTAGCCCTGTTTCGTTACACTTCATTGCCTTCATTCATAATAAAACAGAATAAAAACCTCACTGTAATGCTCTCTTACCCAGCAGGAGATCAAATTCCTAGAGAATCTAATCTTTTATTAATAATGCTGACAAATCACCAGAGTATTACCCTTCATTTACGTAATGATTCAAATCCTATAGAAGCTTCCTCTGATTATTTCAAACATGTACACACATGCATTACAGGAAGACACAAGTCAACAAAGGGAAGAAGAGCACTGTAGCTCCTCCATGCCAATACTAAGGGGGACTGCTTTTTGGCTGGCGTGTCCCAGGCAATCTGGGTGACATTGGTCAATGCCAAGCTCCCACCTCTGTTTGCTGACAGCAGATGGTGCTGGCCAATCCCAAAATTCTCAGCCAGGGCTGGGCTACCTAGACACCAGAGCCTTGCAGCCAAAGTGAAAACAGAGCCCCAGTATGAGCTCAGGCTTCCAGAATGAGAGAAGGGTTGCCACGCTCCCACAGGTCTGGGTTTGGAAAGGGAGCTGACAGCACTTCTCTGAGGATGTCAGGCTAGAGATCCATGCAAGAACACTGAATGCTTCCATATGTACCACACATCCTCTGCCGTGAAGTGTACTACAGAAGCGTGATTTCCGTGAGTCAGCTGGAAGGACCATTTTGGCCAGTGTTCTGCCTTGAAGCAGCCTGCAGCAGATGGCCAGAGAGGGATAAGACCAAGGCAAGTGTATAGCCACATCCTCTCCAGTATTTTCAGCTCAGAGACCTTATGCCAGCTGCAGTTTCTATACATGCAGTAACCCTCCATGGAACTCTCCTCACTGGATTTGTCAGGTCTCACCTGAACCCACAGGCTTCCCTCAGGCATGACATCCTGCAACAAGGAGCTGTGCATAGCACAGCTTGCACTGAACCGGTTACTTGCTAGCTATGTTTGATGTCCTTTATTTCTCATACTGGGAAAGAAGACAAACTACTCCCTCACCACATCACACTTGATTTTATAGACTATTACATTCCCAAGCCTCTTTTCCTCTATCTCCTGTCCAGGCTGAGGACTCCCCAGCTCACTTAGTCGCCCCTTGCACAGAAGCTGTGCCAGATCCTCTACCGTCATCTGTGTCAGCTGTCTCTGAGCCTTTTCCAGTTCTATTCTATCTTTTGAGCTGGTCCAGAATTGCAGGCTGCAGTGACACCATGTATTTGTACTAGATTATGCAGCTACCCAGGAAAGCAATCCCTAAAGGAAGCACCCTACCTATCCTACCTCCTCTATACGTACTTTCTGCAAGCCACTCTCCCGGATAGCAGGGGCTCAGCCACCACGGGGGCTGGGGGAAAATGATGAGGAGGAATGACTCCTGGAGTCAGATGCCACATGTGGTTGTGGCACATCATCACAGAAAGAGGATAAAGCCACCTGTTCAAGCTCAGGCTAAGCCCTGGCCCAGAACTCCATCCAACCAACCCTCAGTGCTCTGCAAGACTTGAAACTCTGGGTATATTTCTGCTGTTCATTCCCACTGAAAGAGAGGGCGGGGTGACTGAATGGCTGCATAAAGAAAAAAAAATGCTATTCAAAGAATTAGAAGGCAAGTTAAGGAAGGAAATATTTTCCCATGCTTAGATGCAAGGTTCATAGCTGCTGCTTGTCTGAGGAGTGGCTTTCCAGAAGCGCAGGGAACTGCCGACTCAATTCTGTAAGTTGATGTCCCACCTGGGTCACAGTTTATTTCTGGGGTATCCAGCAAGTCACAAGAGGGTTCGTAGTACCTCCAGCCTTGATCTGCAACCAAAGAAGAGGGTGCTTTGCCAGACAGCCACCTTCTTGGCTGTTCTCTAATGCAAATGCTTTTTTAATACAGTCAAAACAAGTTTCTAGTTCCAAACCCTACTGAGCAACTGGAGAGGAGGGAAAAGTGTTTCTGCAGGATGCCGAGCACTTTTATTCTGCACTGAGGGATGCAAAAGCAGCTGCAACACTGACTGGATGGTCAGGCAAGAGATGTGGGTTTCAGAGGATCAGAAATAGCCCTTCTCTTTCAGTACAGTAAAGGGAATGGAAACACCATCTTTCTGTTCTTGTCCAGTCACATTGCAAGCCAATGGGGTGAACAAAGAGTCTGGCCAGAGTGTAAAGCTCTGCCCAAAGGGTTAGAACTGCCTCAGGAGAAACACTGGAGATGTGGAAGCACAGAATGGCAAGCTGCAACACCTCAAGTCCAGATTCTCAGATGAGCTCAGCAGCATTACACTCTGGACACTTGTCTGTCACTCTTGCAACTCCCAGGACATCTGGTTGCTCCCAGCCTGTCTCATGACAAGCCTCATCTGAGCAATACAGTTGGCCTCCTAGCTGTGGATTCAGAAGACACATATAAGCTTTTTTCTTGAAGCATGGGAAGGGGCAAAATGGAGTTGAGAATGAGACCCTGTTCTCCTCACCATTGGCACCAAGCTTGCATTGCCTGTAGCGACAAGCTGAACTGAAAGGCACTTCATCTTGCAGGAAGAAGGGAAATACACAGCCATCCCTAAATCACACGTACCTCTTGGGTGGCTTCCTGCCCCTGCCACTTGTGGTCAGGTCGGAGAGCTCAGGTAGGGCTTCCATCAACGGCTGCATGTCTCCCACCACAGGTGTTGCTTTCCGCTTTGCTTCAGTTTTTTGCTTCTGTTTGGCTAGCTTCACACTTTCTATTTCTGAATTAGAAACAAGACATTACTGGAGGAAGGGGAAGTGTTTGTAAGAGATACCCTGAGCTAAGAAGTTCATAGGCTGCTTCACTATCTACAGGGACAGGAAGCCAGAAGTGATTTAAACCAGGGAAAGACTGAAAAGAATGAAGCTGGGTAGTTCCCTCCCTTGCTGTGCTTGCTTATAATTATATACATCTCTACTGACATTTGCAATGGGAAGTGAAACCCCCAGACTGATTTTGTCTGAACTGTTTCCATGCCTTGCACTGTTCATTGGTCACAGCAACATGGCACAGGAGTCGCAGGGTGGAGAAAACCATGCTGACCTTGCATGGAATTCGGAGAGAGAAACAAGAGAGGAAGGGACAAACCAAATACAGTCAGCTCCATATGCGGCATTGAACAGTCACAGTCCCATCTCTGCTTTGCTGTTGGGACAAAACAATGGTCTCCTAGCAGAGGCACAAAAGATGGACTTAATTTCAGTTGTTTACTTAGTTTGGAGCAAGTCAAGATCTCACCTTCATGACTCAGTCTGGAGCTCGAGCAGTCAGATGCCAGATAAACTAGGCCCTTAGAAAAGCACAGCACCGAGTGCAACACACAGAGGCAACTGGCTTTCCCTCGAGACCATGTTTACCAGTCTCCCTGCAGCAGCTCTGAGCAAGGCTGTGGGAACAATAAGGCTCTACAAGTGTTATGGCAGTCTCCCTTCTCAGCCATGGGAGGTGGGCATTGAAAGCTGCAGGCTTCTGCCTCAGTCCTTGAAGCTCCCTGGTATAGAAAGAGGTCCCACAGCTGCCCAAGCCTTACAGAGCCAGCAATCTCCAGGGCAAGCCCTAGCAGAACATGTCCTCCTCCAGGTCAGCCCTCAAAAGACCAGCACTGCTATAAGCCTCCAGCTGAGCTCCAGGATGCCCCAATCTGTCCCAGAAGTCCCTTGATGATGCCACCAGAAACATCTGGAGCTCAGCGGGATCCATGAGTCCCTTTTCCTTCTGCCAGGTGATCACCAGGCCTGGAAACCCATTGTATTGCCTTGACACTCACCTTGTGGAGGCTGCACTGCAAGAGCAGGCTTCTGCTTATTGCCTTGGACAATGAGAATATTGCAAGGACAAGCCTCTGCACATGATGGAGAAAGCAGAACTCATTCAAGAAAGCAGAACTCAAATTCACCGGCTAGCCACTGGCTCCTTTAGTATCTTTGTTTTTGTTCACTCCCCAACTCAGCTAAGTTGAAGAGCAACAGTTTTTCATGAACTGCAATTTTGCTGTACATGGATGTTAGTGACAAATCTGGACTGTAAACGCTTCTCCTCACAGCAATCCCTGCCAAGAACACAGCTTTCTGTTCTGCATCACTTCTTTTTTTGGTCTGGCTTTATGAAGCTGACTACTTCAGTGCTTTCATAAACAGTATGTGCTCAAAATTTTCAGACACCTGATTCTGTGCAAACATCCCAAATTCTTTTCCTATGAAGTCTTGCTCGTCTGAGGAGCCATGCAATATATGTATTTTTAAATGTGCATACTTCTAATATCTGAAGCATTGCATAATTTTTTTCCCTCTCTAGTATCTCATGAGATGATTTATTGGAATGGAAGAAATCTCCAAGTTTTGCGTTTGCACTACAGGACTGAATGTTATTTCCCAGGGTCTTGGCATCCAGTGTCACAAAAGCAGCCCTGGGACAAGAAGAAACAACAAACTCTTGGGAAGACTTAGGAAAACGGAGATGTAATGATAAGAACTTCAGCAGTACAAATTGGGTTCTGTTTTGGGCATGAGGGAAGCAGGCAAGGACTGCAAAACCCACAAAGAATTGGCAGTTACCCGCATCAGATGAAAATCATTGTGTTTCAGTTGACTGCAGCTCTTTATGGTCACAATGTTAGAATGCCAAGTTTCATTTAAAAATTGCCATCTCTGGAAATAGCAGTTCTAGAGATAGCCATTCTATCAGCTAATAATATCAGTTTCTTTACTGATGTTTATACAGGCTCTTTCCAGCTCTCCCATTTTTCTCAATAACAAGCTGCACACCTGGTACTAACACTTGCTGACTTTTACAGAAATTCCCGGGTACTTGCTACCCTTAGCGAAGCATTTGCTAGGGAATGCTGGTATTTGCCAACTGGCCACAAGTTTAATGGGGGAGTCAAGACAGCCAGCAATTTAGGTACTTCTGTATCTGTAGAGCACTTCTAATACCTAATATCCTCTAAGACAGAGACAATTTGGCCTGAAATTTTCTATCTTGGTGTTCTCCCCAAAGCAAAGCCTCTGCATTTCATTTGTATTGTCTCAGCTTAGTAACTTCAGAGCCAAGACAGGACGAAAGAGGCCACGGCAGTGCCAAAATAACATACGCAATCTTGAGAAAGACTGATGCTACAAAGGCATATGTGCTGGAGGGCAAGATTAAGAGAGTGTAGGGATCCTGCTTCTGGGCTTTTCTAAAGCAACCTTGACTATGGGAGCTGTGCTGTCACCCAGTTGCAGGAGCATGCCCTCTGTTTCTTGCAGAACACGAGTCCCATGTACCCCCTTTACTGTAGATTCTGTCATAAAATGCTGCTAAGGACATGCCTTCCTCCACAGCACCTGGTGCCAGTCATGGTATCAGGGGATGGAAAGCTCGGCTGTCCCCTCCTTTTTTCCCACAAAGGAGAGACCTAAAGGTCTCTGGAGCACAGAAATTGCAGCCAGCAGGCCAGACGTTAGGACTAGCACAGCTGTCTATGCTTTGTGGCCAACAGGAACACCAAGGGTTGCAGATGTCAAAGACACTTGGAAGTTGTTTGTTGGTGATAGGAAGGAGGTTTCCTTCAGACTCATGGTGTTAAATTAGCAGCTTTTTATGTTAAGAGGAGCCAGAGACACCTTCACTGCAACTGGTGAAATCACAGGTTGATGGACTTGACCTCAGAGCTCAGGAGCAGTGAGCATATGGTGCAGCAGAAAGCTACATCTCCCAGCCCCAAACACAGTCTGTCAGCAACTCTGTTGGGCCGGAAGGTGTTAAGGGAAAAGCCTGTCCCAAGAGCAGCTCCAGGTGGCAAGAGCTCTGCTATACCAGGTAGCACAGCGTTGTCTCTTACTGTGCTGAGATACCTGATGCAAAAATACAGACACTTCCCACAGGAAACAGAAACATTTCTGCCATGCACTGGTTTTGTTTAACTCATATTTCACAGCCTCAAGAAAGGCCAGACTGTCTGGTAAGTGGGTTCACTGACCTGTGGCACGTGGGAAAGAGAAGAAACACAACCAGCAGCGTCCAGAGACTCCCTTACTGAAGGGCAGGAGGGCCCACTGCAGGCTTTCACCACAGAGGCTTGGGATTAGCTGGTGGCTGCATGGGGCTCAGTAGGCTGTCCTAGTGTCCCCACAGCTCCTCAGGGAGGAGGAGCTCCACTATACAGATAGCCATATCTGTACCAGAGCTTTAAAAGATAGACAAACACGCTAACCCTACACGGGCACAGTGTCTTATCTGGATAAATAAAGATTTTATGTAGTTACTTACATTACTTGTGGAGGAAGATCAAAAGTAGGTTTGGGGCAATGACTCAATCTCAGTGCTAAACACTGAGAAACAATACCTGGGACTTTTACCCCATGTGCTGGGGAGCAGATGTGAAGGCTTCTGAGAAGCACTCAGCCTCCCCCAGCACTGCCCAACGCTCCCACCCACACCCACGTACGGAGACATCCAACAGAGCCATGCTTTGTGATGCCCATGATACCACCATGCTTTGGAGTACTTACTCTGTAGCCATCTTTCTTTACGCAGCTTCATTTTTTCTTTTTTGGAAAGAACTGTTTTTTCTTCTAAACCTAGAGGAGAAGAAATACATGAGATGGAGCCTGGCTCCTGCACACAGATTCAGTGCTGGACACTTCCCAAAGATAGCAGAGTCTGTAATATTTGTTCAGTCCTTGATGCTTTTGAACTTGCTGACAGGTCAGGCAGGCTGCAGACAGGCGGCGACTACACCACACCTCCACTTTTAGCCAAACAAATCAAACCAGGCTCACTGTTGGTTAAGAAATAAGAAATGGGCAAGTAGATCAGATCCTCAGCACCATAGGCTCTGTTTTCTCAGGCCAAGTAGCTCTTTGAGAAAAGCATTTTGAGAGACCCTTCCCCATGTCCTGCACTCCTGCATGAACCCAGCCTGGGAGCTGGCATTTTCTTCTTTAGACTAGCCACAAGTCATAGGAGGACCTACAGGTTCCAGAACTGGAAGCAAGAAGCAAGTTTTATTCTGAAACTACGCAGACTGATAAAGCTAAGAAGAAGGAAAACACGGGCTGCAGACATGTGCAAGGGTAGGAGGGCGAATGGCAACCTGACATGGTTATTGGTATCCGCCCGCCCATGGCAGGCAGGGGAAGCACTAAAAAGGGTCTGAAATACCCAGTTCCGTGGCAGCCCTAAGGAGCAGCTGATTACTAACAGCTTGTAAAAACAGCTAGTACCTACTATATACCAAATTCAGTATTTGGAAACTAGCTGCATTATATCCAATATGAAGGAAAATAACGTCACAAATATTTTTACGGCAAACACTATAAAATTTTATCTCATCTCCGGTGTTTAAAACAAAATGGACTTTATTCAACTTTCCTCCTGAAATGTGCTGGGAATCCTCCTACAGGAATGCAAATGGATGAACAAGCTCCCCAAAGACCACTCCTTGAACCTTAGATTATTCTTAAGCCTGGAAAAGAAAAAATACCCCTTTTCTCCCCAGAATAAAAAGGAATTCAATGCAACTCTAAAAACTCACTGAGGAAAACTTGTCTGAAGTTGCAAATCTTTCAGGATGACTTAAATGAAAGCAGGATCATAATTTAGTAATTTAAATGCCTTAAGATAAGAACAGGCCTGCTGGGGCTGGAGACACTTGTCCGTAAAGCCAACAACCACCACCATGTTTTGAGTTTTAAGAGGACACCAAGAACAAACTTGTAGCCTTCACTGCCTGACATCCCAGAAAAATATGTTAATGAAGTCAATGCTTCCAAGAAGTGAGAAATAAAACCACGCCTAGATGCTATTACTTATTTACAAAGCTCAAACATGTATTGAAGGATTTATATGTGACTGATGCTGCTATCCATTTTTCCGTCTCCCACATAAAGCACCAATGCATGGGGACCCTGCTAGGCCCCAGCCAGCAGGACAGCCTCACTGGGCTGTGGGGCCTGGCAACAGCAGAGACAAACATCTAATTGTGTTAAGGGCAAATTTCCTCAATCTGTTTGTTGTGGTAGTAAAGCAGATGCTAAAACAACTAATTGCATGTTCCAATAACCAACTCCCAGTCACCCTCACCCCCGATCACCCCGCGTTTCTGCAGTTTCAGGGGAAAAAAGGATGAATCACGAAAGGCCAAATTGTGCCCTGATGATCTCTGAAGGTCTGCCTGCATGAGACACCTCTGCCCTGTCTTTCTGGCTGCCCGAGCCTGCCCAGATTTCAGTGGCGGCGGTGCTGTGCAGATTTGCCTCATCTGAAAACACGCTCATTACTTCATTGGGAAAACAGTGCGTGGCGGGATTTGTCAATGGAAAAAAAAAAAAATTCAGCCAGCTGGCCAATTCTAGTAATAACATCAATTCAGTTTTGTTTGTTCCCCCCTCCCTCTCCCTCAAAACAGCAGTGGAATATTTAAGGAAACATGAAAGCTGTTTTCTTGGCAGGAGTCCAACCTTACTGCAGGCCGGGGACAGTGGCCGGCACCTGGGCTGGCAGCCGCTGATCACCAGAGGGGTGCAGGGAGGAGAACTGGATCCTTCCTCTGCCTGCTGCGAGCAGCCAGCGAAGCAGCTGGTTTCTGCCCTTTTTCACTGCCTGCTCCCCTGACACCTCCATTTTACGTATCCCTTCCCGCCCCTCAGGAGGTTGTTTTGCTGCTAGAAGGTGCAAAGTTGTGTTTGGCAACTTCCAGTCACAATGCTGAGTGCCAAAGCTGCTGGAAACCCACTGGAGAACAGCAGAGGCAGAATTTAGCACAGACCGTCCCCAAAGTAGTCTTTCTTTTTTTATTTAGCTTGCAAGCACCTCTGAGATCAAAGCCAGACCGCAGCTCCAGTTTAATTATTTTTCTGTAAAATCAGAAGAGTTTGAGTCCCCTCCTCTGGCCCATTCCACATGCAATTTAACAACACTTGCCTTTGAAACCTTGTGCATGTAAGGTGAGCAAAAGTCAATTATATTAGCTGAGAGTAATTTACATACTGTAAACTTGACAATTCTTTCTTTTAGCAAGGATGTGTTTTTTATCGCCTATGATCTGCACAGTACAAAACATCTCAAATACGAACAGATTTAAAAAATAGCTTTTTGCCTCCTACATCAAGTGTTTGATACTACCACTGGCAATTCTCAGGATCCTGCTTTCACAGAAGACAAGACAATTATTTTTTTTTTAATACATGTTCCTTCATTTCAGAAAGGTTGAGTTTGTTTGGTAAAGGACTCCTTAGACTAAAAAAAACCCAAACCATATATTTATAACTGCTTTTCATAAAGGACTCCCTTAAGAGTAAATATATATATATCCTACCTTAAAAGTCCCCATTATATCCTTTCTAGGCATTCAGAAAAAAGCTGGATTGGGTTAAAGCCATAACACTACAGGCTTACCTGAGACCCGAGATCCCACTATTCAAGTTTGACTCCACAACTGAGACAGCAAAAACACAAGCTTCACAGTTCTGGCAAACCACGTTACTTTGAGGACTTGGCCATGATCATAAATATCAACTATGAGCAGAAATATCAAATAAACCTGTGACTGTGCAATGCCACATGAACAGAAGAGGGTCCTTCAGCACCAGGCATCTCCCACTCCCCTTCCCCGTGCAAAGCTGCAGTGAAGCACTAAGTCCCCTCTGGTACAAGCTATTAAGAAGTAGCATGAAATACTATTCCTAGAACTCCACTGATGTATAACAGTAAAGCTGTTGCTGCTCAAAACATAGTATTTTGGCAAAACAGGGTACCCTATAAATTTAAGTTAAAGAACAACAGATGTGTTAATTTTCTCCTCAGTTGTGTAACAGCAGCAAAAATAAGCATATGCCTACAGCTATGGGATGATGAGTTCACTAAAGAAATTCAAAGAGCACACCCAAAAGCAGAAGACTGGCTGTGTTTTGGGCTATTTTTTTTGTTGTTGGTGGTGGTTTTTTTAATTACATAGTTTCACTTGTAAATTGACTGATGCTCTTTTACACTAAAAGGACCTGGGAAATGATAAACCACAGTCTTCTGGGGCAAACACAGCAGTGGTGTGACCTGACAGATGTCAGTGCAGAACTACTGAAGGTATTCCTTTTCCTCTAGGAAGAAAGCTGAGGGACAACACGGGCCAGGCAGAAAGTCAGCCACAATGTCCTCCAGCAGAGATGGTGCTCCGCAGGAGCCAGCCCCACAGCTCACTGCTGTCACGTCACTCAACAGCTCAGCTCCCAACCAAGCGACCTCCAGCTCCACTTCTCCTCTAAAAAGCACTGACACAAAAGTGCCTGGGGAGCCTGGGTCACTAGTGGGACTGAGTCTTGGAAGTGGCAAGGACAGAAGCAAGGAGTTGTTTCCCAGGCTCTTTGCCCGCTTACTCTTTAGAGGAACCCCCAGAAACAGCTTGGTAGTCTGAATGTGGTGCATGGAGACCATGGCAGGGTAGTGTTTGGCTTTTTCTCAGTTCAAGCCCTGCCACCCTAAGGCGGCTCAGGAACCACTGTTGGAAAAGAAGATGACAGTCCCTGCTGGGACAGGGCAGGTTTCCCCATGGATACAGCATTTGCTTTTTATGTTGCAAAACAAGCTACATTATTTTTGTTCGCACTTAATCATTACATCAGCATGCAGGCTTTCCTCTTGCCCCTGATGAGGAAGGCATCCTATTTAAAGTTGGATCTGCATTCTCAACCCTTCCAGATATCCCGGTTATTTAAAGTAGAGCCTACTTCCAAGCCTGGCTTCCCATCCAAGACCCAGAGGAGCTGTGCGACTCATGTCCTTGTTCCAAGGTCATGCCTCCATCAGGCCTCATAAATATCCCTGGGCTCTGACCAGCTACAGGAAGGGCACAAAACCTCCCTCTGCAGAAGAGCTGAGACTCATCTCTAGTTAGCCGCATAAATGCACAAGTGATATGCCATCTGAAGCAGGAACAGTTCCCCTCAGGAGGTGACTGAGAAGTCACAGTCTGCACAGTAGTCTGCGAGAGGCAACTCTAGAGACAAAGTCTGTCCTCCCAAACCATATCTTAAATGCTGCAGACATGTTCAGCCCCTGACACAAGGTAAGAGTTCCTCCTCCTCCTCTGCCTGAGGCATTTTTCACTCTTCAGGAGTCCTTGGTCTTCCCACCTGCACCCTCTCAGCAGCCCTCCCCAACGTAGAGGTTGACATTTCAAAGGTCAGTCTCAGATAGGCACACAGAGGATGCTCAACATGGCCCAGCGTGTCACTGTCCTTAAAGCCACGTTTGCAGGTGGAAGGTTATTTTCCTAACCAAGCAGGAAAAAGGTAACATGCCTCAGTGAACCTAGATTTCTGAACCAAGAACCAATCATGCCACAAGGACTAGAAAATGTCTCGTTTGAGCTAGGTGCCAACTCATTGCCAGTTCATGGCACAGAGAGATCCCAGAAACCACCGTGAGCCTCCTGATGGAGAAGCTATGGCTGCCACAAGGAGCTCATCCCTTCGAAAAGTTATCCTTTTCTCTTGGAAAAATATCAGCTTATTTCAGGAGTTATCCTCCCTGTAAAACACGTACAGGGTACAAACATGGTGAGGTCAGAAGGAGAAATACCCCA